TCTAGCTGAGAAGCAACAAAGCCCACATGGAAGAAGCACACCAGCCTGTGTGATCATGGGGTGTCAATGGGATCAAGTATCAGGCATCTAAGACCCAGAGCAAAATCATACCCAATGTGAATGGGGGGTTGTGGTGGTGAGGAGTGGAGACCCAACGCCCATCTATAGACAGTTGGATATCCCCTCACAGAAGAGTGACAAGGAAGAGATGAGCCAGTCAGGGTGCAGTATAGCCCTGATGAAACACACAACTTTCCTCTAGTTCTTTAATGCTTCCTTCCCCCCACTATCATGACCCAAATTCTACCTTACGAATTAGATTCGATTAACAACTTTTTTATTTTGAGACTGAAGTAGCAATTAAAGGAAAAGGAGACTGATGAAAAGAGGCTTGAACTCAGTACTGCAAACAACATAAGTAATAATGTAATTCAATATAAAATGATTTTCCAAAACAATAGTATTGTACATATCCCTATAACTAAGATATATTACATTTGAGCAATGTACAAGCATATTTATCACATATTTTTCTGTGATTAAAATGGGTATTAAATAATACTTAGAATTCTGTATGGTTTGGCCCAGGAGGAGGTCCATGGGGCAGTAACACTGTGAGCTACTGCACTGAGTGATACCTTAGTGACACCACTTCATTCACTTTGCCATTTGACAAAATTTATTTTGGACATCAAGCTTAACAACTAGAACAACAACAACAAAGATTAGAAGAAGGTAAGAAGGAAGCAGGGAGATTAACTCCTGGGCCTATAAAATCATCCAGATAATAAATAACAATCATCCAAACAAGGGGGTGAAGTGGCACACTAAAGCCTCTAGACTCAATCATACCAAAACCTTTATTTTGTAAATAAAGTTGTATTGGAACAAAGGCATGCCTATTCTTTGACACACTGTCTATGGCTGCTTTCCTGGAACAAGGGCAGGGCTGAGTAGTTGAAACCAAGGTTGCATGACTTGCATAGCCTAAAACACTTGCTCTCTGGCTCTCTGGTTTAAGCGGGAGGCCCAGTGGGCAGTAGATAAAACGCAACCACTCCACGGAAGAAAGAGGTGGCAGTCTTCCCTTCCTATAAAGATTTACAGTCTTGGAAACCCTATAGGGAGCCAAGTTCAACTATCCGCTATAGGTTGCTGAGTCAGGATTGACTCAATGGTGCGAGATTTGGTCTAAACTAGAGGGGAGGAGTGGAAAAGGTAAATGATATGTAAGGGAAGGGATGCTAGGTCCTCTGGATCTAGAAACAGGTGGCGGTCACAAGAAAACAAATTTTATCCCAAGGTGGTTTCACCTAACATGTCTTTAAAATCTCTGCTGTTAGCTGCTGTTGAATCAGCCCCCAGCACATAGTGAGCTCATTCACAATAGTCTGTCTGATCCTCGGGTTACACTGTTATAATTCATAAAGTTTTCATTAATTAGTTGTAAAACTTAGATCTCCAGGCCTTTCCTCCACAAGTCCATTTTAGTCTGGAAGCTCCGCTGAAACCTATTCAGTATCATATCACAAGTCAAGCCTCCACAGCCAAATGAGTGGTGATTGAGCACAAGGGGAATTAGGAGGAATAGAACCCTGGTCTCCCACAGAGAAGGTAAGAATTTTACCACTGCTCTCTAGCCTGGGCAGAATGAAAAGTGGCACCTGCATTCATTAAACAGGAATGAGGAAGACAGGCTTAAGAGAAAAAGGAGAGTTATGTGAGATACCTGTTGTGTTGGAGGCCTCTGTGGGATAGCCAACTCTAGAGCCAAGGGGCGAGACCCTGCTGGGAAATGTAGGCTTGGAGGCTTTGTGCAAGGACAGAGAGCAGGTGACAACAGGTTCAGGCCAGAACCTCA